AAATAGAAAATTGGCGACAACTACGTGGAGGGTGGCATAATATGCCAACAGCGTTAGCGGCAATTGACAGCAATTTTCGCGCCATTTACAGACCACACACGGAGCCTTGGGCACAATTTAACTCCAGATATGGCATTCCATACTTACGCAGTTTTTTTGCGGACAATATAGGAATAATATAAGATTCACACGCAGTAGTTTCCTAGGACAACAGGATGATAATCAATAGTTTAATTTACTGCCTTCAATTAGCCATGTATAGAATTAGATTTCCCTCATGATTTTGTCATTTTAGGAAAAAATATATACCGCATGTCGTTCTCCGCTCGTTACCCTCTATAGGCGTCATAAACTTAGAGCTATACGTAGACCCAGAGCAGAAAGAATATAATGTAAAAAATGAACTTGAGATTATCGTTCGGGTGTCTGGTATATGAGGAACACGCTATTAGGCGCTTAAAAACTTTCAAAGTTAATGGAAGCGTATGGAGACATCCGAACAAAAAAATCAACCAGACTGTAAAGCTTTGTACGGGTTTAGTAGAGATTGATTGATAGTTGTTTGTTTTTCGTCCAGTGACAAGTATTTCATACATTTTTAGGACGAGGTTCAATATAGTGGAGTGACAAATTGATATGTTCGAAGAACAGTAATTAATATACAAAAATCTAGCTAGCTTATTTTGTGATTTTTTTTTTTTAAATCTAGAAGTGGATATTTGATAAACCATTAACCCCCTCCCCCGCACACACTTACACCTCTCCCGTCCTATAATCACAAGTAATGATATCAGAAAATGATAATTCTAAATTTATTCAATTTCAAATGAACCAAGAAGTGTGTAGGATACATGGTTAACATCACGCATATTGATATTTACCGATAATCAATGTTTTGAAACAGTCCCCACATTTAAAGTCTAATTTGTCAACCTCAGCGTCGAGTATATACCTTTTCGTAACACGTCTATTAACAAAACATAGTAAGAAAGACTTAGTGATATCTGAGACATATCGTATCGTGGTGTGAATCTTATAGTGTTATATGTCCACTTTTAATAAAAAAAAAATCCAAGTACAGTCTAGTATCTCCTTGTTTTTATAGTGTTGTATCTCCACTATTTCTCATGTATTTTTTATGTTAAATAATTATTATTAAAATAATCTTTAGTAGTATTATGATTAAATAGTTTGCATCGTTTGAACTCAATTTATGAGCAATTCTTAGTAAATCTAGCCATACAGAATTGGGGATAATTACAAAGTTAAAAAATCCATGGTCTATCTCCAATGGAAATATAAGGATAAATTTCTAAAACTACATTGTTTGTAGTGAAATATTCCAAAAAGGGGGATGCTTTATTTATCTAAAATACTTGTCTATTAAAATAACAATCGAACAAAGAGTTACTCTTCATGTACGTAGATACGATTCCTATATAACTTTTTATGTCTCAGTCAAATATTTATGATATTGAGCTTTTAAACTTTTTAAATTAACTTAGATTTTTACCACTATTACCAAATGGAAAATATATCATTTTAAGATTCACACGACGATATGTCTCTGGCGATATTTCGTACATTGTCGATTTCATGCCACGTCACTTTGCCTTACAATCCAGGGTTCGTTTAAGAATAGACAACATTTTTTTTGTACTAATTCTTTATAAAATAGTATAATTGTAGCCATATTTAGCTTCAGTATTTTAAACAATATTGGATCAATGTCAGAAAAATATCATTTTATTTGCTTTTGTTTGTATTCGGCACGAAACTGTTGAAGGGCTCGGTAAACCTCGTCCTTCCCAGGTTTCTATGCCTCATACAAACTAAAGAATATTTGTCTGACATTGACCTAATATCTTGTATTTTTTTTTATGATATAAAAGTGATTAAATCTAGCTTTAAGTTAACTCGTATAAATTAGAAGTTTGTAAAAAGAAACATCCACACCTGTTCAATTTTAATGTTTTTGAAATAATTCAATACAATTATGCGTTGTCAATGATCTTAAAACTTCATGTATATATGTATGTAATATATAACATAATTTAGTACGAATTCGTACTAGAAGTGATACGTTATTTGTTCTTAATATTAATTTGTTCGATTATAAGATTATTTACAAACCTTTAATGTATCTTTTGTTTGTCTGGGAAGTGTATTGTGTTGAATTAATTATACCAACTATGTTTCATCATAGAAGATCAATTGATTTGGGAATGTATTGACATTTTATACAGCGGGTCATGATACACATTGAATAAGAAGACTAAGAATACAACAGGTAATTAAATGCTTATCTAACCACTAATAGATATGCATGTACATGTTAGACTGTTATTGTACTTTTGCGTTTGGTGTTGATTGTTTGAAGTGCAATAAATCCACTTTAAAAATTTGAAATTTAAATCATTTGTAACGGAAGTGGAAAGGCTCATAAAACATACAATAACCTGCTTTTCTTTTTTTAGAGTGGCTCAGTTTTTATTTTTCCATGTAGTGTTTTGTATACTCGTATGTTGGTTATCTTTTCGTCTTTTTTGATTTTGTCTCGCCTGCGACAATAGTCGCGGAAGGAGACACATAGGTGTTTTTTTTTCCGGCGTCGTCGTCAACAATTGTTTTAAAGTTTTCTGATTAAATCAGTTTGATGGGAACTACTTGTGATAGATCAATGATATTTTCTATTAAGTTGCATTACTATCAGTACATCTTAAATTGTCGACCATATCGAGGCCCTGCCCCCTTGATCATGGTCCAGCAACTTTGAATTAATTAGAAATGTTGCTGTCCATTAGATTGTCTATATCTGAATTTTCAACAGTTTATCGTTTAAGTCATAGTTTTGTCAGTTTTCTTCGACTTGTGGTTTTTTTATTGTCCCTTTATTTCATCTTCCGTCCCCCCTCCCTCCTTTTCTTTTTAAAAGTGTAACACTTACTGATCAAAATCAACGATTAATATATCTAAAAGATCTAAGGATGTTTAATTATGGATAGAAGGCTGAAAAACCACTAGCGATAGGATACATTTTTATATTGACCTTGACACAATCTAATTAAAATTAATACCTCTGATTTTGTTACACTCATACGACGCAAATTACGGTAGATCGATATTTCAATTAGATTGACCTTGACAGAAGTTAAAGTTAAGCTTTCCAGCCAGAGTTTATCGTTTTGTAAGAAAAAAGATAAAGAGCTGTATTTGAAATATTCACGATAAACATCGTTTTTGTTGTTTTCATTCGTCGATTGCTGTCTCATCGACGGCAGCATAATACATGTACCTATGTATTGTCCATGTACGCTTAAAAACTGTGCACTTTGTCCAAACAGACAGGAATGATTAAAGCTTATTATTTGGAGCACTTTTAATGTCATGTTTACTGTTGTTTTCAATTTTGTTCATGATATTGTTTTAATTCGATTTTTTTAATGTTTGATTTTTGATTTAATATCTTCCGCTTGTCTTTTATAATATACATTCAACCTTCACCAAAAATGTTTATGGGGGTAATGTGCAAGTCGATGAGGACTTATAAAGAGTGTACGTATTGCCCGTAAATCTATTGCTAGAAACTTTGATGCTGTTCTGCACTATATGCATCGCATCCTGGTTTGATTGGTGTATCTTATGAAAAAGAATAGACTTTAAGTTTTTAAGTTTATATTTTGTGACATTATCAATTTTAAAGAGAAACGAACAATATGCGTGCGTGTAATATCAGTTTAAAAATTTTAAATATATTTGGGGAACTATTGATGATAAGGTACTAGGTTCTCATGTGCGACATAGCTCTTCAGTTTGGCCTACCACACTACGAGGAAAAATATCCAATACTAACATCATTTTCGTCGGTTATGTTACATGTACATACATGTACATCCTGTGTTATTCATATTTTTTCGTTCTATTTTGAAACAAGTGTGTCAAGTGGGAACAGATTGAGAAAATAACCTAATGGAATCCTTAAAAAACTAACTAAAAACATGGGGTAGTTTTGACTCTCACTGGTCTATTTTAAAATGTACATTGTACATGTATAACTACAAAAGCAAACTTCTATACATAAGATAATGATATGGGTAAACTTCACAAACTTTATCGTTTAGGTCTTTTAAACCTGTGAGAAAAATGGGTTTTTTTTTATCTTTTCTTATACAAATAGTTAATAGTTAAGGTACGATTTACCGTCACATTAAGCATGCGTCGAAGTGTCCTCCACGGTACCACTGTGTCAAAAAGGATTTTTTTTTTTATAAATCAGTGTATTTCTATGTAAATAACTTTGATCTGAGACATAGCGACAAACTACAGGCTAATGACATTTCAAATAATTAAGCTGCTTCTCAGTGAAATATTTACCACAGTAGCTACTTAAATAGGAAAAGAACTAGTAAGTTAACTTAACAAGGATCTTTTTTTACTTTATCAACGTTTTTTAGCACGTCCTTTCAAACTAGGAAGCTATCATTTACACACATGGTGAGTTTTAAAGGAGGAGTTGTTGTTTAAAAATGGATGAATTTAAGCTAACATAAATAGATGAACTTTTCTAAAGCGGTAATTGATGAATTTAAAAAAAAAACATAGTAATGTTACAATGCATCAATACTGAAAACAATTCAGTCTGCAATTTAAAGGTTACTTTTTTTGTCGACTGATTGACCAACGTCATTTAATCCAGTATACTATGACCGAGTTACATGATTTATCCATCCGAATTAAAAAAAATAAAAAAAATACACATTGGATATACAGTACACGGGTCGTTTGCTCTGTTAAACACCAGTAAAAAGTTCAATCTAATTAAAATATAGATCTCGGATTTCGTTATACTACGTTATACTACATACGATTTCGTATGTAGTATAAAATCCGAGATCTATATTTTAATTAGATTGTAAAAAGTTGACATTCAATTTTGTGAATACTTTTAAATACTTTCTTTACATTTAAATCGTATAACTCTACGGTTAAAGACATTAATGATATTTCTATGCCTGACTGCTCTAGGTAACAATAAACCAACCTAAGACATTCGAAGCGGGTGTATATATATGTAAACAGTATGTCATATACTTCCTGGTTAACAGTGGACACAATGTGATGTTGTTCTTGCTGCAATGAAGGTAAATTTATTTTTCAACTTTATGAAAGTTTTATAGAAAACAGAACGCAGAACCCATCCATACTAATTTAGAGGATTGACAAACAAAGTACAAAATTATACAAAAGGCTACGTTTTAAATCATCATTGTATCGGGTATAATTAAGATTATTGATTATTTCTGTGTTGATGGTTACGTAAGATGCATATGTACTAATTACATACATTTGTGTAGACGGTACATGGTTTGGCTATTTGTTATCATTATCTTTTCATCTTGATGAATCTACATTGTATGCATATTCTTCAACCGTGTCTACGTCATTGTTTCATTTAAGATATCAAATAAATTTACAGACAAAAACAAAAGGACAGTTTACTTTACTCTTTATTTAATGCGTACCTTGATCATTTAAACACAAATTGGACAATTTTAACCAATAGCCACAGTTCAATGAGTTGCTATGTGTACTTTGGGGTTCTACAGTCTGTAGATCCTTAATCGTTTAACATGTACCTGAACACATATGTCCCAAAACGTAATATTAACTTTATTTTGTTAAAGGGCCTTCGATGGCCGAGTTATCTAAGTATTCCATCAATATCAACAGCGATCACTAGCTTATATATGGTTTTTTAAAACTGAAGTTGCGAAATCGAACGTCACTGCGGCATGATGCGTTCGACTTCAATCTTGATTGACTAGGACTGCTTGTGTTTCTGACGAAGATTGGTGGATCTCACCAGTCGGTACTCCTGCTTCCTCCATCAATATAAACCGGCCGCCATGATATAGTCAACTGTGCTGAAAATACCTTCAAACACTTCAATCAATCGTTTTGGTTTTATACGTATTTTGACCGCGCTGAAGTACGTCCATTATTCATTTTTCATTATTCAAAATTCAATAATGAATAATGAAATAGTTCATTATTCATTATTCAACGTTAAGTGATGAATAGTGAATAATGAAATAGTTCATATTTCAGTATTTTGAATAATGGAATGGACTGCTACGACCCTTCAGCCCCTAATTTCAGAGAAACCTTATACACCATTCGAAAGCTTATTGACAGAGGAACAAAATGGTTATAATCAATATGTGCCGCAATGTCCATTAGAGGGGTTACGCAGGACCTAAATGCCAAAATACGCGTGAAAATTAAGAAATAGCCAATTTTGAATAATGAAATGGATGTTTTGAATAATGGAATGGACTGCTGCGACCCTTCAGCCCCTAATTACAGATATACCTTATACGTCATTCGAAAAAATATATCAATAGAGGAACAAAAGGTATATAATCAATATGTCCCGCAACGCCTATTAGAGGAGTTTCGGAGGACCTAAATGTCAACATACGCGTCAACAATAAGAAATAGCTTATTTTGAATAATGGAATGGACTGCTACGACCCTTCAGCCTCTTATTACAGAGAAACCTTATACACCATTCGAAAGCTTATTGACAGAGGAACAAAATGGTTATAGTCAATATGTGCCGCAATTCCCATTAGAGGGGTTAATCAGGACCTAAATGCCAAAATACGCGTGAAAATTAAGAAATAGCCAATTTTGAATAATGAAATAAATATTTTGAATAATGGAATGGACTGCTGCGACCCTTCAGCCCCTAATTACAGATATACCTTATACGTCATTCGAAATATTATCAATAGAGGAACAAAAGGTATATAGTCAATATGTCCCGCACCGCCTATTAGAGGAGTTTCGGAGGACCTAAATGTCAACATACGCGTCAACAATAAGAAATAGCTTATTTTGAATAATGGAATGGACTGCTACGACCCTTCAGTCCCTAATTACAGAGAAACCTTATACACCATTCGAAAGCTTATTGACAGAGGAACAAAATGGTTATAATCAATATGTGCCGCAATGCCCATTAGAGGGGTTACGCAGGACCTAAATGCCAAAATACGCGTGAAAATTAAGAAATTGCCAACTTTGAATAATGAAATGGATATTTTGAATAATGGAATGGACTGCTGCGACCCTTCAGCCCCTAATTACAGATATACCTTATACGTCATTCGAAAGCTTATTAATAGAGGAACAAAAGGTATATAGTCAATATGTCCTATGTCCCGCAACACATATTAGAGGAGTTTCGGAGGACCTAAATGTCAAAATACGCGTGAACATTAAGAAATAAACAATTTTGAATAATGGAAAAAATATTTTGAATAATGGAATGGACTGCTGCGCTGCTGCGACCCTTAGGCTTGCCAAGTTGGTAACTTATTACTTATTTATTATTCATTATTTATTCTGTATTCCTTATTCCGTATTTCTTACCTATTCGTTACTGATTCATTATTCCTTATTCGTTACTTGTTTTTCCATATAATCTTTTCATATGTTGTCCCCCTTTAATGCTTTCTTTTCTTTTCTTAACTCTGGTTTGAGGAGGTAAAAATAACCTGTTAGCGCGTATGTACCCGTTTCAGCGCTCGAATGATACCCTATTACTTGTTCGCTACTTATTCGTTCCTTTTCCTTTTGATACGCTACCCCTTTTTGATGATTTCTTTTCTTTTCTTGTCTTTGGTGTTAGATATGGGTTCGGTGAGTTGAAATTTCCTGTTAAAGCGGATGTCTCCGTCTTTGCGCTCGACTGATACCCTGTTACTTATTCGCTACTTATTTGTTCCTTATTCGATTTTTATACGTTGCACCTTGTTAATGCTTAATTTCCTTTTCTTTTCTTGGTTTTTGTTCTTGGTTCGTAGAGGTGAAATTGCCCTATTAGCGCGTATGTATCTGTTTTTGCGCTCGACTGATACCATGTTACTTATTCGTTCCTTTATCGCTTATTATACATTGCCCCTTTTTAATGATGTCTTATTATTCTTTTCATGTCTTTGGTGTTGATATAAAAAAGAAGATGTGGTATGATTGCCAATGAGACAAATCTTCACAAGAGACCAAATGACACAGAAATTAACTATAGGTCACCGTACGGCCTTCAACAATGAGCAAAGCCCATACCGCATAGTCAGCTATACAAGGTCCCGAAATGACAAATGTAAAACAATTCAAACGAGAAAACTAACGGCCTAATGTATGTACAAAAAATGAACGAAAAACAAATATGTAACACAGCAACAAACGACAACCACTGAATTACAGGCTCCTGACTTGGGACAGGCACATACATACAGAATGTGGCGGGGTTAAACATGTTAGCGGGACCCCCCCCCCCCTCCCCCCACCTAACCTGGGACAGTGGTGTAACAGTACAACATAAGAACGAACTATAAAAATCAGTTGAAAAAGGCTTAACTCGTCAGATGGATACAAATAGAAATACATCTAACAAAAACACAGAGTGGACGTGGCCGGGTACTTGTACATCCCTTTTAGTTCTTTTCATGTCTTTGGTGTTAGTTCTGTTTTTGCAGAGTTAGAATAAGCCCGTTAGCGCATATGTACAAGTTTCAACGCTCGACTGATACCTTGTTACTTATTCGCTAGTTATTTATTCCTTATTCGCCTTTTATACGCTGCACCTGTTTAATGCTTTCTTTTCTGTTCTTCTCTCTGGTGTTAGTTCTTAGTTCGTAGCGGTGAAATTGTCCTATTAGCGCGTATGTACCCGTTTCCGCGCTTGACTGATGCCCTGTTACTTATTCGTTACTTATTCGCTTATCCTTTTTTTTTAAATGGTTGTAGGATTATTCTAACTTGATTTTTTTTTTTGCATGATTGGAATGAAACATTTACACAAGCAATATATTGAACTGGGAAGGGAAGTTATATAAAAATAAGGAGATGTGGTATGATTGCTTATGAGACAACTATCCTTCAAAGTTCAAACGAAGTGGATGTAAGCAATCATAGGCAACTGTACGGCCTACAACAATGAGGGGGGAAAATCATACCATGTAATCGGCTATAAAAGGCCCCGATATGCAAAAATGTGAAACAATTCAATTGAGAAAACTAACCTATTTTATAACAAAACAGTTTACAATAAAACAAATATGACAGATATGAACAAACGACAACAACTGAAATAAAAAACCCTGACTTGGGACAAGTACATAAAGAATATGCCGGGTTAAAACATGTTTGTGAGCGCTCAATCTCCCCTAACCTGAGAAAGTGGTGTTACATCACAACATAAAGTACCGAAATAAGAGTACTCGCAGTTACTTAAACCCAATTACCAGTAAAATATAAATTATGTTATCCCAGACTTATATATCAATCTTTACACATCCAACATATTTAATGTGAAGACGTCATAAACAGTCTGAGAAATGCATTACCCTGTGCAATGCCCAAATATAAGTTAACAGTATCGACAGGATGTAGGAATATATATAGCAATATATGTTTAGTTTTCATGGTTCAATTTTATCAAAAACAAAATCAATGTTAATACCAATAAAACAATCTTTAAAGATTTTACTACTGTGGTAAATTTATAACATTTAATGATATTAAGTTTATATATAGGATCAATTAGTTTACATTGATCGTATCTAAATTTACGGGCTTTATAATCAACATAGTCGTAAAAATTAGGATGTGGTATTCCACTTTTAATAAGAACTCTACAGGTACAGCCAAACTTCTGAACTAAATATTGAATTTGGAAAAGGTTTTAATTAATTTTTGATAACGAAATCCCTGACTTAATAATCTATCAGTTATACATGAATTACGTTCATTGAAATCTAAAACATGACTACAGACATGGGCAAAGAGAACAAATTGTGAAAAATACACACCGTAAGTAGGGGGCGAAAGGAACGCCACCATCCTAAAGGCGAAAATTAACAATAAATCGTCTCTTTTGTCGTAAATTTTTGTATAGAGTTTCCCCGTGTGGAACTGAAATATCCGAATCTAGATAAAGAAAAATATTGCTGTATGTATTAGATTTATTCAAACTAACTACCTTTGGGTGAATTCCCGCAGTAAAATTAGAAAATTCTGGATTATTTAAAGCAAAAATATCATCAATTACTGTAAATGTTTTAAATTTATCAAT